TCCTGCTGAGGGCCTCCTTCCCCTATAAGTGACCCCTTGGGATCACTAAAGAAGTGGAATTGCTTAGTGTGTTCGTTTCCCATTGTTGCTGTAACAAATCACTGCAAATGTAATGGCTTAAAACAGTACAAATTGATTATTTTACCATTTTGTAGGCTGGAAATCCGACCCAGGCCTCACTGGGCTAAAAGTAGGGTACCGGCAGGGCTGGATTCCTTTCAGGAGGCTCTATGGGAGAAGCCATTTGCTTATCTTTTCCAGTTTCTGGAGGCCATCTGTATTTCTGGGCTTGCAGCCCCTTCCTTCATCTTCAGAGCCAGCTATGGTGAATAGAGTTCTTCTCAAATTGCATCTTTCTGATCCTCTTCTGTAGTCATGTCTCACTCTGACTCTCTTCTTCTGCCTCCCTATTGTATTTTAAAGGATCCTTGTGATTACATTAAGCCCAGTATAATTTTCTTGTTTTTAGATCACCTAATTATCAACCTTAATTCCATCTGCAATCTTAAATCCCATTTGCTATGTAATTAACATATTCACAGGTCCTAGGTATTAGCACACAGACAGCTTTGGGGGCCATTATTCTGTCTACCATACCTAGAAACAGGTATCACAACGTGGCAGGTCATGGGAGAAAAGAGAAGTGACACAAAAGAAGCTACAGAGACATAAATAAGCCTGTTTTGATTTATGACTTATCCTCATATTATTTCTAGATAATGTTAACTGCAAGAGGGACCTAGAGAGTAGTAAGTGAATATTTCATGTGGGATTCGGTCACAGGTTGGATTCCCCCAGATGATGGTGATTTCCATGCAGGATATTTATTAGGTAGCACTCTTGGGATCAACCTTTGGAAGGGACGGGAAGAGAGAAAGGTGGTTTGGGCAGTGAACGATGTTGGACTACAAAGCAATCTCAACAAAAGCCACAGCTGATCCCCTGGAGAGCTCTGAAGCTGAGGTAAGGGTACCAGACCTTTATACCCACGTTGGGTGTGGACTGCCCTAGGAAGAGGGTGTGACCTTGGAGAGGCCTCTCACTCTGCAGAGAGACTTCCTAGAGAAGACTGACAACCTAGGGCTATCTGCCAGGCACCCCCAGTAGCTAGGAGGTAAATCCATCAGTTCTGGAGTGGTGCATTCTTCCCATGCAAAGCCCTTTGGCAAGAATACTGAAAAAGCCCTTACAGACATTCATACTCTCTGACCTAGTAATTCTACTCCTGTGTATATAACCTAAGGAAATTGGTCTAAATACTGAGAGGACTTTGTTCACAAGAACGTTTATCACAAAGTAATTCATAATGGGGTAACTCTGGAAACCACTTGAATGTTAAACGTTTGGAAAACGCCCAGGTAAATACTAGCATATGCACCCAATGAAAAAATATCCTGTCGTTAAATATGATAGAGTCTGTAATAATATAACAAAAACATTTATGTTATAAAAGTGAAAACAAGCCTTGATTCACATTAGTAGGTGCATTATCACAGCTATGTAAAAATAAATCCTTATACATAGAATGAAGCGAAAATATATGTAAACGGCAACAGTGATTTGCTTAGTGGTAGAATTAGGTGAGCTCGTAAAATCATTTTATTGTTCTCAGTATTTTCCAAGATGTGATGACTGGAATGCTTCTGTGCTGCACTACGGTTTTAAGCCTGGTGCACAAGCGCACAGAACTCTCCCGCCAGTCGGTTCCCAGCACGACTCCTGGAGCGGGTAACAGATTCTCTAGGGGGAGGCGACCAAAGTCAAGTGGCGGCCGTGGGCGCAGGAGCCCTGGCGAGGGATCTGAGGGCCCGGAGCGGGGACAAAGGCCCCTTTGTACTCCCCGCTGGCCGGGGCCGGGGTGGCTTTGGAGACCTAGGTCGGCGTTCCCGCGGCCAGGGCCACGGCCGGAGGAGCCGCCGCGAACCTCTGGGCTCTGCGGCAGGACCCTCGGCGGCCGCCGTAGCGCGGAGCCGATCCCGCGCGTCTCGAGTGCTGCTGTTGCTACGTTGTCAGACCAACCTGGGCGACTCGGGTGCATCCTTAGAGCCTGGGGACCTTGCTTTCCTCACCTGCAAAATGGCTTCCTACTTCGTGGGCCGTGTGAGGACTGAATGAGGTAATGCATATGCAGTAGTAAAGTGCTTGTCACAGTGCCCAAGCCCGATGTGGGCAGCCAGCCTAAAGAGGAGCTTCCAGATGCACCCCTGTTAGGGACACTCCCGGCACTAGCCAGGGGATAGTGTGGGCTCTCCAAAGAGATACCACATCCCTTTACCCTAGAATAAGGATGATGCTTCTGGAGTGTGAAAAGGAATAAATGAGATTATATCTAAAGGGGTTAGCCCCGTGGCTGATGCTAAAACATTTTCTCTGCTGCCACTGCCTCTTACAACTGGACGTCTGCAACAGCCTCCTGGTGGGTCTCCTCATTTGTAAGCTGGAGTCAATAGGTGTGCTGTGAAAATTAAGTGAGAAAATACACATACAGAACCTGCATTTAATTAGGCCTTAGGAAATGGTAGCAGTTCTTTTTTCACCACACAAGCGGCACCATTGGAAACACCCACCCTTAGCAGCTGCTTCTCATGAGTTGGGAGCTGGGGCAGAGAGAAGGCAGATGCTGTGAGAATTGAGAGAGCCAGAGGGGAGACAGCCGTGCCCAGGCAGCCAGCAGTGTGTCTGCTCTCTGCCGGGCCCTGCCTGCTGTTTGCATTTGCTGCACCCATCAGTTGCCACACCTGTTCTCTGAGGCAGGGAGCCCGAGGACTGCTTGTCCTGACTGAGCAGAGAGTGCAGCACACACCCACGGCAGTATCCCTCAAAGTCAGCAGGTGAAGGTCCCGTAAGTTCCAGATCAGTGAGGCCCTCCAGGTTAGCTTCTTGGAAATAGCCAGCTCAGGGGCCTGCCAAGGTCAGTCCCTCCTTTTCTGCAGTAAATCAGACTTTATAGGGTACTGGAGAAAAGAATATTGGCATGCCTTTATTCCACTGTCCAAAGGAAAGACGTTTCACTTGCCTTTAAAGTGAGCTGTAGTACCAGCTACTTTTATAGAACACTTTCTCTTTGTAGTCATTGTACTAAGTGCTCTGTAATCTCATTTAACTCTCATAACCACCCTCACAATGTCCTATCCAGTTTACATGTTGGAAAACTAAGACTCAGAGATTGAGAGACTTGTTGAAGGTCACAGCTGGCAAATAGCGGAGCCAGAATGTGAATTGGGCTGATTTATAAACAGTATGCTCTTAACAACTACACTAATCTAAATGTATACCCATATTCTCCACTTTAAATGAAATGCTTTCGGCATCTTCATTTTCGGGGCCTCTAATAAAGTCTTTTGCAGAACACATTTTCTAGATTTTCCTTCACCCGCTGAAACCAGGCTTCCTTCACTAACCTTTTATTCATTGTAAGCACATAATACACGCATGCTGAATTGGTAAGCCTAGCACCATGATTGATCACCCATGCTAAGCAGGGTTTGGTTAGGGAATTCAGCTGCAAACCACCGGCTGCCCAGCCAAGTCCTCAGAGCGAAATCCAGGGGTTCAAGGCCCCTTGGCTCTGCAGTTGCAATGACACCCTGATATGGCCTGCCTGGGTCCTGCCTCAGAGGCCCCTCCATCCGCCTGGTAAGTGAATGCACTTCCCCTTCCCCACCAGTTATTGGGACAAAATGTCCTATGCTTTCACCTTTATGTGGCTCCAGATGTTGGATTTAATTTTTTAAAATACCCTGCAGCAGAAATGTGGTGGCGAGTCTGGGATGCGTGCGTATGTGTGTGCTCCTCTGTGTGTGAAGCCAGTCTCTCAGCAGCAGCTAAAAATGTGAAGCAGCCAATCTGTGCTGGGAATTGAGGACACCGGCTGCTTGCATTTCTAGGTCTTCCTAAGGGTTATATAACTACCCCCGAAGCCAGGGGGCAGGAGCAGGGCCAGCTGTGGGAGATGTCTCCAAAGAGGAATGCTGAGGAAGGACTGACCTTGAGAAGATGGGGAGTTGGCCAAGCCATGGAATGTTCCCAGCCTTGGGGCTTAAACAAAAACTGTATTCAGAGAGTGAGGGCTCTGTTGAGAACAAACCCTGTCTGTCTCCCTGCTTTGTCTTGGGGGCTTATCAAGGTGAACCCTTGCCCTGTGGGGCACTGGATATTGAATTTAGAGCTGGGCACAGCTGCCAGAACAGGGCCCTGGTAATCCTCCCAGCCATCTCTAATTAGCAGGCTTCAGGGCATCTTGAGGGCCCTGCAGAAGTGAGATAAGAGCTCCAGCCTCATCTATTCACAGAATTCTTGGGGTAGGAGAGCCGTGGGAGGGAACACAGCTAATCAGCAAAGGCTTATCAAGGGCTCACTCTGTGGTCATCCTTCGGGGAGGGAGGTATCTGATTGGCCCCTTCCCCTTGGGGGCCTTGTAGAAAAAAACTCTGTTTGCCACTCTCCCTGCCCACTATCTTACTTGACTAATGCTTAGTTTTCAGGCCTCAGCTCAGAGGGCTGAGACCCAGAGCAGCGTTTTTCAATCTGTGGGTCATGACCCATTAGTCGCTTGTATAATCAATTTAGTGGGTCACACCCAGCATTAAAAGGAATAGCATAGACCATCTGGGCACATCAGATATAATAAAGATACCTGTTGTTTCAGTTACGTGTATGAAATGAATTCTCATTGGTCATTTCAAAAAATTGAAAGCCTTGGCTTAGAAGCTGTATCTGTCTGTATCCTTCTCACTACAGGCATCAGAAACCCTGACTCAATCTAGTTTGGACAAGAAGGATATTTATTATTTCACTTAAAAGGAAGTCCAAAGGTGGGGCAGGCCTCAGGATACAGGATCCACTTTGATTCAGGCTCCTCTATGCCACCAAGGATGGCAAGCCTTCACGAGGGGTTGGTTGTCCTCAGGCTGGTAGCAACATGGCTACGGAAGCTTCATGTCACATCATGAGAACATCACGGAAAGCAGAGACTGGCTCTTGTGGCTCTGAAGAGTGAGGAAATCTGGCTGACTTTTCTAGCTTAGTGGGGAATTGGTCACAACCGTATTCCTAAATGTATCACTGGCAAGAAGTATATGACTCCCATGAATAGAGAGACTGAGTAGGATATCACCCTGGAGCTGGAGATGGGAGGGAAGGGTGGCTACCTGATCAAAGTAGCATTCTGACCATGGACCAGAGGACGGAATGGGTGAAGATGCTTGCAATATCGAAACTGATTTCTAGGATATACAAGAAATTCCTACACACCCAGGAAAAAAGAGAGCAACCCCAAGAGAAAAATGGGCAAAAGATGTGAACAGGGCTTCCCTTGTGGCGCAGTGGTTGAGAGTCCGCCTGCTGATGCAGGGGACATGGGTTCGTGCCCTGGTCCGGGACGATCCCACGTGCCGCAGAGTGGCGGGGCCCGTGAACCATGGCCGCGAAGCCTGTGCGTCCGGAGCCTGCGCGTCCGGAGCCTGTGCTCCACAGTGGGATAGGCCACAACAGTGAGAGGCCCGCGTACCACAAAAAAAAAAAAAAAAAAAAAAAAAGATATGAACATGCAATTTTCAGAAGAGGTAAACACTAAAAGCTAAGAAACAGATGACATAATATTCAAAATCATTGCTAATCACCAAAGAAATGAATTCAAATGAATTTTTCTATACATTATATTAACAATTAAAAAGCTGGGGCAATTCCAGTTGTTGATGTGGGGACATGGGAACCCATACACACTGCCTGTAGGAGTGTGGACTGGTGCAGCCATTCTGGAGGGCAGTCTGGTCTTCTTGGCCAAATTATGTAAATGCACATACCATGTGCCCAGCAATTCCACTCCCAGGCAAGTTCTCACAAAGGCCACTTTGTGAGAGGGGACGTGTGAGGGTATTCCCTGCAGCTTTACTTGTGGTGGGGGGACGTTGTCCACAATCCCATGTCCATCACTGAGAGAAGGAAGAGGTCAAATGTGGGTGCACCAACAAGGCCCTAGGCAGCAATTATAAATGATGGATCAGAGGTACCCATGGAACATGCGTGGATCTTAAAAACAATGTATTTGGGGGGAAAAAAATCTACTTGGTGGCTGTGAGTTTTTTAAAGGTCATTTTCTGTTTGAGATGCATACTGAGGTATATCTGGATGAAATGACATGATGTCTGGAATTTGTCTTAAAATACTCCTCAAAGAAAAAAGTGAGCATGGAGTGGGGTAAAGAGATGAAACAAACTTGGCAAAATATTGGTAGTTGTTCAAACTAGGTCATGGCTATGTGGAGCTTTGTTATATTATCTCTACTTTTGTGTATCTTAGAGGTTTTTCATAATTAAAGTTTAAAACAACACACAAAAAACAATACCCATGTTGTGGGAAGACATTGAAATAAAAAGATACACATTAAAATGGTACCTATAAGGCAGAAGAAAGGGATGGGAGTTGGAGATGGTGAATAAAAGGGAAAGGAAAATAGAGAAACTATTTGGTGTTCCATCAGGAAGGCCCAGAAAACTCAGGATGCCCCCAGTGGAGCCTGGGATGCATAAGGGCAAAAGGGGGCGGGGGGGCAGATGTATGTTTGCAGGCAAACAGCAGAATCTGCACAGCGCCCGTGTTGATTTCCTCACGGAGCCTCCTTCTAACTGCCAAGGCTTGGTTAGGCTCCTGTGAGTTTCTGCAGCAAGTGGGTCGGGTGGCAAGGGCGCAGGAATGGGGAGGGGTCTTTTCTGGCACTTACTTCACAACATCTTAAGATCTGCTGACTGCATGGTCTTCCCCAGCAGACTGGGAGTTACAGGGTGTGGGGCTGTGTGTTGTGTTTTGCACAGTAGTGCATCCCTGGCACGTGGTACGGGGTCCACCACACCAGTGTACTCTACAACTTCCGTTTATTAAAAAACAATAGCCAAGGCTTGTTGAGCATTGTCTCATTTTTATGTTCACAGATAACGCTATGAAGTAGGAAATAGTACTTTCCCCATTTGGTCAACAAGAAAATGGAGGCTCAGAGAGGTTAAGAAACGTGTTCAAAGTCACACAGCTAAAGCTCGGCAGAGCAGGGCCCAGTTGGACCATCTGCCATTGGAACCAATACCCTCAATCACTGTACCACACTGTCTTGAGGGAGAGAG